CACTTGCTCCTCCCAATCCTATCTGGGGCTGTGACTCCTGGGAACTTGGAGGAGGCTCTGCACCCTCTGTCCTTGCTCCACAAGATGCCCATCCACCTGCTGGTGAGGGACAGGATACTTTCCCTGCCGTCTCTCCCCAGGTTACCTGGGCTGCAGCTCCGACAGCCCTGGGCCCCATCCCCAGGACCGGCTGCTCCAACCTGTCCTCCCCGGCAGCGACTAGTATTCCTGAAGACGCATAAATCTGGGAGCAGCTCTGTGCTAAGCCTGCTTCACCGCTACGGGGACCAACGTGGGCTGCGCTTCGCCCTCCCTGCCCGCTACCAGTTTGGCTACCCAAGGCTTTTCCAGGCCTCTTGGGTCAAAGGCTACCACCCTCAGGGTGGAGGCACCCAGCCCCCCTTCCATATCCTCTGTCATCACATGAGGTTCAACCTGAAAGAGGTGAGAGGTGTTGAGGGTGTGGGTGGGACTGGAGAGAGATGGGATCAGGCCTGTGGCCAAGACCATCAGTGGAGAAGGCCCTAGGCATGGGGGGCCCCCAGGAGTCACCTCACCCAAAAGGTGGACAGAGGGCCACAAAGGTGAAGTTTCCTGTTCTCCCCTCAGCTGCCCCTTCCCCAGTAGTTTCTGAGAGCTGAAGTCCTGCCCCCTCCCATCTGGTGCATACTCCAGTCTCCTCCCTTGACCAATTATCTAGCTGGTGTCAGCACTGTGCCAAGTCTGAATCCCACCCCCAAACTCTCCCTCCAGGTGCCCCTTTCCCTTCTTAGCCCCTTCCATCGATACCACCAGGACCTCTGCTTAGCCACTGCCCTCTGACCTATCTTCCTCTCACTCCCCTCACCATGTCTGCCAGATTTCGAGAATCGGGTATATATCAAGCCATCGCCCAGCCCTGACACCCTCAGCCTCAGTTCTAAAGGGGGAGAGAGGTACATGGACTCACGTGTTCATCTGAACACACAGAAACCTGAGAGTTCTTGGAGGAAGAAAGTCAATGTGCAAATGAAAACGTAAGGGAAGGGACTAACTTTTATTGAATACTTCCTGAATTCTGGGTACTAATCTTACCATCACCTTGCCAGGAAGACATTATGAGTGCCTCCATTATACAGAAGAGGAGGTCGAGACTCTGAGAAGCTAAGTGACTGATCTCTTAGCCAGATTTGAACCCAGGCCCATCTGCTCCAAAGTCAAAGTGCCTTCTGTGGCATATGTGCATATACATGTTTGTATTTGGAACTGTGAGAAGAATATTCATCAGAAAGAGGTGGGGATTTCTGGAGAGGCAGGTTTTAAAGGAAAGGGTGGACATGATTTTGTAGTAAGAACACTAGACATTCTTAGAGGGAGCAAAATATCAGCAAAGACGTGGTGGTGGGGATGTGTGTGTAAGGTGTGTGTGTGTGTGTGTGTGTGTGTGTTGGATGTGTGTGTAAGGGGTGTGTGTGTGTGTGTGTGTGTGTGTGTGTGTGTGTGTAGGTGGTAGAACCTCAGTGGGGGTTGCAGACCCACTGCTGATTAAATAGGAGCTGGAGAAAGCAGCTGAGGAACATGTGTGTGATCAAATGGGCAAGGAGGGCCCATTACTGGGAGTGAGACAATGACAATGACCTTTGAGGCAGGTTTTTCCAAGGTTAGGATGAGGATCTTCATTGTCACCATCGTTCATCTGAATACCTATCGTGTTCCATGTATTTCCACATTCTTCAAGGTAAGTGTTAACCCAGATTTATAGATGGCGGAAGTTCAATAAACTGCCCAAAGTTACATAACTGGTAAATGGCTGAATTGGGATTTTATTCTAGGTCCACCTGATGCCACAGATTATTCTCTGCACTGTTCTCTTCTTCCTTCAAAGAGACACAGTTCACTGGCTCTGCCCTGCAGACTTGATCATAATAGCAGATTGGAGGACATCATGTCAGAGAGTCAGGTTCAATGACAGTCACATTCAGAGGCAGAAACCCTTCAGGGAGCCTGGGAGCTGGTTTCTAATGTGCACCTGCCTGGCTCAACCTGATTCCCACCTTCCTGCTTGCTGAGAAGTGAAATCCAATGTTCCAGGCCTCAGGGTAACTCCCTACAAGGTGACCATGGCTCCCCAGTGTCTAGTCCAGAAGTGTCTGTTGCTCTCCAAGATGCCCAGGAGCCCCAGAAGTGCCCTGTCCTTCAGCCATCCTGGGCTTGTCTGCCCACCTGACACCTATACCTGAGACAGCATTATGGTTGCCCCTCTCGTCCCTCTTTGCTGCCAGTGATCCCCACCCCCACTGAAGGGGCCTGAGCCCAGTTTCTTTTTTGGAGCAGGGACCAAGAGTCCCAGGGTAGACTCTTAATAGTTTTTTTGTTGGAGAAGTGAACACAAAGTTTGCTTTTTAGAGATTTTACTGACCAAGGCAGACAGTAATGCCCAAGAAAATACATGTTCTCCAGGAGCTTCCCACGTTCCAGGTTCCTTCGTATTCTTTAATCCATGTAACTTCCATAATAAGCTCGGAAGGAAGATAGAAGTATCCCCATTTTGTAGATGAGCAAATTGAGTCTCAGAGACATTAGGAACTTGCCCAAGATCTGTCAGCTAGTGAAAAAAGTTGGGGGGTTCCTATTAGAGCTGTCAGGAGGCTGGGAGATCTTCGGGCATTGGGCTTACACTTCTTTTCTTCCTGGCCCACTTCTTTCTCCCCATGACTGTTTTCTCTCCTCTGCAGGTACTTCAGGTCATGCCTTCTGACAGCTTCTTCTTTTCCATTGTCCGAGACCCAGCGGCTCTGGCCCGCTCTGCCTTCTCCTACTATAAATCCACCTCATCAGCCTTCCGCAAGGCACCTTCCTTGGCTGCCTTCCTAGCTAATCCTCGAGCCTTCTACCGACCTGGGGCCCGTGGAGACCATTATGCGCGCAACTTGCTATGGTTTGACTTTGGCCTCCCATTCCCCCCAGAGATGAGGACCAAGAGAGGATATCCTCATCTCCCCAGAGACCCCAACCCCCCAGAGCTGCACGTCCTGCCTTCGGGCACTGGCTCTCGAGCCCACACCCTGGATCCCAATGCTCTCTTCCATCCTGCTCCCACCACTGCTGATGGTCACAGCCAGACGTCCAGCCCCGCTGCTTTAGATTTGGGGTCTTCATCCTTCATCCAGTGGAGTCTGGCCTGGTTGGACTCTGTCTTTGACTTGGTCTTGGTGGCCGAGTACTTTGACGAGTCATTGGTTCTGCTGGCAGATGCCCTGTGCTGGGGTCTAGATGATGTGGTGGGCTTCATGCACAATGCCCAGGCTGGAAGTGAACAGGGCGGACATGCTGTCAGCAATGGTGGACTGACCACTGAGGACAGGCAACTAACTGCACGGGCTCGAGTCTGGAACAATCTGGACTGGGCTCTTTATGTTCACTTCAACCGCAGTCTGTGGACACGAATAAAACAATACGGCCAGGGTCGGCTGGAGAGTGCAGTGGCAGAGCTCAGGGCTCGCCGAGAGGCCCTGGCGAAACATTGTCTGCTGGGGGGTGAGGCTTTAGACCCCAAATACATCACTGACCGACGGTTCCGCCCTTTCCAGTTTGGGTCAGGTAAGGTTTTGGGCTATGCACTTCGGAGTGGACTGAGCCTCCAAGACCAGGAGGAGTGTGAGCGCCTGGCTACCCCAGAGCTACAGTACAAGGACAAGCTAGATGCCAAGCAGTTCCCTCCGAAAGCCTCTCTGCCGTTCAAGACTTCAAAGCTACTCACCCCCTAGGCGTTAGACCACGGAGTCTTAGGTTAAAGAGCAGCTAAGCTACAGGACACGTGTGACCAGTGTGGGACAGCCGATGACATTTCTGCTTCCCTGAGAAAGCAAGTCTGCTCCCTGCAGGACGATGGGAACCTGGCATGGACGTGGGCCCAGAGTCCTCCAGGCCGTGCCAAGGACTCCAGCTGTTCAGCTCCCAGAGGCACTCCTCCACCCCCCTCTGCCCCTTCCCCTGTCCAGCCCCCTGGCAGGTCCACGCAGCACTCACAGGCTCCCTGGAGGAGCAGACCATGCGTTCAGCCAGAGGACGTTTGGGACACGGTGGGCTGGAATCATCCGTCCATGTATGTCTCTGTGAAATGTTTGTTACTGAGCTACGCCCATTTCACTATGAAATGTTTGTTGAATGAATAAATACTTTGAAACTTGGACTTGCTTTATGTAGAGCAGAAAGGGAAGGGGATGCTGCATCTTCATGCGAGACGCGGGGGGTGGAGAGGGTTCTTTTTCATATTCTCCAAAAAGCCTGTCTAGAGTCTCTCCTGAATCCTTCTTGCTGCAATCTAGCGGCCGCCGCACCCGCCCCTCTCCTCCAGGGTCCCGTCACTCACCGATTCCGGGGCCCCAGGCCACGCCCCTTCCCTTCCGCTTCCGGCTTTTCTCCAGTCATTCTCCGGGCGCCCGGCTCCGGCCCCGCGGGGTCTCGGTTCCGGGTTCGT